TTGAAAGATTTAAATATAATGGTGCGTTAATTTCTGGCGGTACGACGGCCATGAATTTTACTTTCAATTTTGTGATAAATAATTGACTTTACCCGTTTTTTTTATTTTTTTTTCAAATTTTAACAAATATTGTAATTGATCGAATAGACTTCTGACACCTCACTTCATCACAAAATGTTTGTTTGCAAATAATTACACATTTCATATTTATTGGCTTATCTATCGTATACTTTGGCAGATAGGTTGTATTTTCAAAATGGATCATATTAATAAAAGGAATGATAACAATAATATTATAATAATGAAAACATCACAGTAAATGTTTCTTATACAGAATGAAAAGTCATATATATGAATTACCCACTGTCTAGTTATATTTTTCACAATTTTTGGTCCATTTTTCGCATATTCTGGTTATCCAAGTTGTACTTTCAAGGCTGATAAAGATAGGTAAATGATGTTCTTTACATACGAAAATATTCAATCAATCTTTAAAGCAGCGAAAGAAAATTAAATGTATCCAATTATTCATTTAAATATTTGCCTTACTCTTATATTTACTGATTTATACAGCGTACAACTATGATCTTGTCGAATTTTCTCACGATGAACATTTGAAATTAAATCTAGTGAAAACCGGAATTTGGAACCAGAGTGGAACAAATCATAAACTAGGAAATCACTTTTATTTCATCACACGTAGGATATAAAGCTTTCGTGCTCACGATTTCCAATAGTTATTTATAAACAGCTAATATTTCAGCAAAACTGCTTTTAGATTCCAATTTAGCATCATTTTAATTAGTCAATCTTCAACTGTAACAAACTAACTGACGAAATTGAAAATATATTGGTGCGTATTTCAGTATTTCCAATACAATACTGATGTATTAACAAATTATGTAAGATTGATATCATTATGCATGCAAAACTATGGGAAGCAATAGATAACATGGGAAATAGTGATTGCATTTCCAACAAAACTTCCAAAAATATCTCGATACCAATCGGAGATAGGTACCTGTTTATAATACATATATGCTTAAGGTAGCATTAACCAATGCAAAATTTCCTATCAAAAGCTATCGGATTTTTAAGACATCTCTTCTACATACAATCTGTATAATTCCTTTCATTACAATTTCTCTATCATTAAAACTGACAATGAAAAGATGAGCAATGAAGTTTGAAAAAATGGCCCCAAAGACCATGACAAATAGAAACAATGACTTTAGTAATTAACAAGTAAATACTCTACAAACAATTGGGAAAATATAGGGATTTAAAGCGGCAGCAAAGTTTAACTGCATATTTGCAACGAATAAAATTCCTATTTTCATGTAAGAAATTAAACATATATGAATAAACACATCATTATTTAATAAGTCCACCTCAACACGGGATAAAAAAGGTTTATTAAGAAATATTGATTACAGCAAGTCAAAGGTATAGTGCTGATGGGTTTTCCTTTGTATCCGAAAATATTTGGCTGAAAGATATTAGGGAGTTTCAGTATAAGGATGGAACGATTTTCGAGTCAGATGAAAAATGTTTTGAATGAAAACATAATGCGTTTGGGACTGCTGAAATGTTTTTGTTTGGATACAAATGATTAAAACAAATCCGATGAACTTTATGAAAGAGGATACCAAAATTATTTCACAAATTTATGAAATCTTTAATAATTCTTGAATTAATACGAGAAAATTATGAGTAGGAAAAATAGAATAGGTGTAGTGATCTAAATGGTATCAAAGCTGTGCTTTAACGCTTTGGACAAAATCCAGACCGCTGCTCCCACACTTTAAAACAAAAATATCACCATATCCTGAATATCTTGCAGGTACTGATTTTTGAGATTTAGAAAATGAGGAAATAAACGTTTCCAGAGAGTCAAAAAAATCACATTTCGCGAGCCGAATCGTGCTGTGATACATATCCGAATTACAATATATCACAAAGCCGATGCGGCTCACGAGATTTATTAATTAAATTATAGGAGGTGTAAAGTTTCATTCGATAATTGTAATGGGAATATAGGAATCATAAAGGTCTTAGGGGACTGGAAGTTGTCAGGTATTCTCTTTGCTGTGAATAGTCGAAGAATTCATCGCAAAAATACCCTTTGTTTCATGCGATCGTCAAGCACAGCAAGCTGAACCACCAGTTGGCTGTGATTCGGCTTAAATTTTTTCAACGGATCACAAGACCACTGATGGTTCAAGCTTAGCCATCAATGCTTCCGAAATTTCAAAATCATATTGACTTGTAAATCCATATCAAGAAAGTTTCTCTCCGGAAACAGATGCCATAAATTTCACATTCTCCAATTAGTCCTATTTTTTGATTCCAACATCTTATACTCTCGAAAATCATGAACTGAATTGCTGCTACAGATCTCAATCTGCTATTTCTTTCTCACTCGCTAATTATTGCCACAAACAACGAAGCAAACTACCGTAAATCTATCAGCTTTAGGTTGATTGATGTAGCAAGTCCTTAAGAAATAGGCGTGAGAAAGATAACTACCAGTATCAATTTGATTTACAACCAGAGAATACATATGTTCGTGGAAAAAGATAATTCTATCATTACAACTATAGAATATACATTACGAAACCCTGTTTCAAATTTATTCATATTTCACATCATATCTTCTCCAAAGTTCAAAAAACAATGCATCCATTCGATCCATGAATCCAAGTATATCGTGATTTTCTAATATATTTGTTCTGTTAGAACTTCCCCACTAACCGTTAGGAATACCGGAAATATTAGAGAACTCACTGTACTCGTACCAAATTGCCTGTTCCTTTTTCGCTTATGCACTTCACGAAAACGAGTCAATAAATTCCAACCTTACTGGTTGCAGTCTTTTGATATCGGTACGTATATCATGTTACCTTCCGTTATTTTCCACCGGTGATTTCATAATCAAAAGTAGAAAACTTCAGGCAGCTGACAATAGGTACCGGCAAAGGGAAGGTCAACACATAAATGTTCTTTTAACATCTTTCCAATATATTATTCTCTTTCACCAACAAAGGGTAGGAGAAAAATGAAAGAGATGAATCATACCGACCGGCAAAAAAAACCTATCCCAGTCCGAATCGTCGTCTAAACCTTATAAATGCCTCCTGCATACTAAAAAGAAAAAAAAAAACAAACAAATAACCCAAAAAACGCCACTCACAGCGCGGATTTCACTTTCTTATTCCAATAGAATTTCCTGCCAAAAGAATTTGTTACCCCATAATTCAATAATTTTTTATAATTCAAATTTCAACCTAAGGGGTTTAAATTGGGAAGGATATTTTGCCGACATAAGTTAACCACTTCCATTACAATAATGCTTAACTGTGAATAGAGAGAGAAATGAAATTCTGCTCCCGTAATCAGATTGTAATAGGGATACCCTCATACCCACAACCTTTTCACTACAGCTACCCATAATCTTTAACCCTACATGATATCACTGGACTTTCATAGTTCAAAATGACCATTGGACCCCCTTCTGCGATTTAACTTCCGACTAGACAGTATGACCCAGTTCCATCTCTTAAACGACCACCAACTTCCTTTACCTTACTTCTCTCCATGAGATTTTCATTACTGAGCATAAGGAATAATTTTAGTACAGAATGTGAAAGTGACATCGAAAGAAAGAGCACAGCTTACAAAAGATCCTTACGACCTGGTTCGGCTCGGAAAGGATAAAGAACGAGTAGTAATATGAAGTCATGAATGGTACAAGAAGATATACCGGACACGAATGCCAGATCGCATAGCTGAGTATGGTTCTAGTCATGAATCCATTGTATGTCACATGACTAAGAACCATGCTCAGCTACGAGCAAACAGCATTATTATGTATAGAGAATGATATTTTCTGGATAAAAATTACAAATTATGGCAAAAAGAAAAAAATCATTAGTAATGTAAACTTTGAAATGGTCTTTAAAAAATGAGGAAATTTCCAAATAATTTTGAAAATAAAAGGATATAATAGGATTTGAAAAAGCCGACACTCTCCAGGAATATAATTATAAGGCCAACAACGTGATTAATTATAAGCTAACAACATGATTAAATAACAAATCAATAGAAATCAATGCGACAGTAAAAAGAAGAGAATGACAAGAGGTTGATAATAGAAAAATTTGAGTCTCGATGAACTCCTTTGGCACTCTCCTCTTCACTACAATTCAATAATAGAGAACCTAAGGTCATAGGCTCTTAAGAAATATCATTTGGAACGTACTAGAGGTCGCTACCCAGTAAGAGAGAAAGAGAGCTCATCAACTGGACCTTCTGTAGTGGAAGAATCCACTATTTTTTTTCTACAAGAGGTCACAACTGTAAGAGTGGTGAAAAGAGGGAGACCCACATCATTTGAATTCTACCTAAGGTCAAAACTCCATGAAGAGAGGCAAGAATGATACAAAACGGAACAACGAGAGATAAAAAAAGAAATAAGAATACTTCGTGACACACAACACATCTGCGAGGCATAATGCCAAACATTGAAAGAAACAACCAGAAAGAATTTTAAAAGAAAAAGAAACCGATTACAATCACAAATAAATCGAGACACATCAAGGAATAAAAATTCTAAAAAATTCTCTTCCTACTTGTACTAACCCTGAAACAGTAATATATTCATGTATCATTTCTAATTATGTTCCTGTATATCATTTCCTGCTAATTGAATGATCAATTGATAGAATTAATATATTACTCATTATATATATCTTCCTCATTGTCATCATTCCTTGTCATTAATGATACCCCTCTGATACCCATCCATCCATTTATAACTACCAGCAGAAGCCCAGAAATGATGAAGGTATAGAACGGTATCATATCCACTTCTCAATGAAGCGTGTGAAAACGTTCCTTTTTATATATACACATGCAATGTAAGTAATATTCTGATGATATACACCCAGCAGAGTACACTTATAAAAAGGATAGTGCGGATGATAGTAAGGGAAAAGGGAATGGCAGAGGTAGATCAGGGTGATATGGCGGTATTGGGTAGAGGTAGATCGGGGTGACATGGCGGCATGGGGTAGAGGTGGTTCATCTCCCTTCTCCTCTCCCATGCGCACTCCTTAAACCGCCCTCCTTTTCCTCAATGACACCTCCTCTCTTCGATACACCAGACCATTCGACCTCCATCTCCCTTTCTCCTTTCATCCTACAACACACACACATATTCTGCGGAAGATGTTATGGAGGGGCTGCGGGAGGAAAAAAGGAGGGTTGGATAGATGCCCGACCATTAACGATAAAAAATAGAAGAGAGCGAATGACTGAAGGAATTAACGAAGAGTCCACCAATGTGCGCATGAAAGGACTGGGGTATCGTGAAGCTATCAATGTATTGCAACATTCGCATACACGGAAAGACTTGGGAAAGATCAATGATAAGAGGAATGAAGCAGATTAAAAATGGCAACAAGAAGTTACATGTGTATATGTTGGAATAGCAAAGCCTACTGATAAATCAGCTACAGAACTCACATCGTGCAATTTGAAAATTTGCCTAATGAAAAATGAAAAGTTGATCTCTTGCTACCCCTGCAACCTTATAATTTTGCATTGTTTCTCTTTTGCAAATTGATTGAAGTCTGCTTTATACTTGCTTGAAATCAACATTTCTGTTTGCTTTGCAATTCACAAAAATTATTGAAAGTATGCCAAGATCAAAAAATTTGATGAATCAATCAATCGATTGGCATACCGTAAAAGTGGAGTTGAGAATAGAATGGAGTCCTGAAGCGGTACCGGAAGAGATCAATATGAGGAGATGGAAGCAACAAATGGCATCGATGGATGAGAGGTCCATCAAAGACTGAAGAAGAAAGAGAATCTGCTACAAGCGACGAACCGAACAGTACATCCACCCAAGGCTAACTGACCGACTGAACCGATCACCCCCTCACCGTCCCTCCGCGCGAGCTCATGCTGACAGACAGAGAGATCACTGCTGCCATTCAGGTCGGTCAGAGTGAACGGTTGGCGCCAAAACATTGGAAGTTCCCAGGAGTGGACACGCCCACTGACATAAATCACGCACACACTCACATACAGATGAGATGCATTCTGCCCTCTTTACGGCGCCGCGCATTTTCCCGCTTCTCTTTCATCCAATTTTGTTGCAAAAAATTGGGGCGCGCGGGAAACGTCTCCATTGAAAATTTGAAACGAACGTTGCCGGCTGTAAATCACCGGTTCAAAGTGGCCCTTATGCAAACATTAGGCCATCGGTCTTACAGAGTATTGCTTGCATGTTTGTTAAATGCTCCCATCACTAGTAAAAGCGTACTGAAATAGGTGATTTACCTTTCTCTTTCCCTACCTACCAGGAAAAGATTATATATCGACATTAATTCTAAAATATTAGCCTGTAATTGAAGGTTATACTCAGCAAATATCAATTAAGGTGCTGCATAACAACGTTCACGTCCCTTTACAGGATAATATTTTATGGTATTTTCACCTAAAATTCCCTTTTCTAATTGTGTAATTAAATTTCTCATCCAAAAAAGGAAAAAAGTCAATATTGATGTACAATGTATAGCGACAAATATCATTCACATATATGACGAATTCCATCCAATCCATCCATTGAATCACTTATAAAACCTGAAGTTTTCAGTATTCAGTAAAAGCTATCGAAACAATGCATAAATAAAATAAATGAACTTTTCGAAATATTTCAAGAAACACAACAACAGGATAAAAAACAAACAACACATACAAATAGACACAACGGGCACACACAAATATCACAGAAAAATTCCAAATCATTCAACGAGCTCCAGCATCCCTTGCCTAATCAACATCTCGCAATCGGCCACAGGTAATGAATGCTGTAAAAAGCAAAAAGAGAAATAACCACCATTCCATCTGTCCATCTATTTTAATTTTTTTTTTATATTGAATATCAAAGATCGGCTCTTTATGGTAGCGTAACGGGACACTCCTTAAGTAATTCAGTACTGGAAATTAGAGACAAGCATAGAATCGAAACGGTATCAAGAATGAAATAAAAAATTCCGAAAAATCCATTGGAATTTTTGTTTAAATCAAAGCTAGATTATATAAAAATGAAGAAAATTTAAGAAAAGAAACACTATACCAATGCATTTTCAGTGAGAGAAATAGTCGTTCCGTCGCTTAGTTCAAAAGAACCAATATTTTGTTTTGCCCGAACCTAGAAAAACAAACTAATGAATTTTATTGATGTGATAATTTGTTACATGTGATTTACCAGTATTTTAAACCATGAATTTAATTCATTTTAACTTGATTTCTTCGAATGAAATTGTAAAAAATACAAAAGAAAAATCTATGGTAAGGAAATTCAAGAAAAAAAATACACGATAAGATGAAGTGCAAAAATGAGCCAATAGAAAGAAAAAATGGTAAATTAAAAGAAGCTGACCTTGACAAATAAATTATGAGGTGGTTTCATATTCAACAATAAATTCACTCCGTTCTCACCAAGCGAATTTTGAAAATCGGCAAGAAGATTGTTGTATTCCTGTAACCATTTCAATTCGGCTTCGCACAGATTTTCCTAAAAACCTGAACTTCTGCAGCAAGAAAAAGAATAATAACGTAAAATATTGGTTTCAATATCGGCGAAATTGTATTAATTATTTTACAGCTAACAATCGATAGTTCATAATCTGTTAATATATTTTGGGAAATGAGAATATCTTACAAATGCATTTTTGAGGATAAGCAGAGTTAGAAAGAAATTCCGCTTGAACTTTCTGTGTACATGTAATGCACTTTTTCATCTAATTTATCGAGTTTCGAGATGATGTAAGCTTAGTTGATAATTCCTGAACAATTTAAACAACTCTGAACTTTGCTGGTGTTAAATGTCTTCCACAGCAAAAGATTAACACTAAGGTAACTTTTAAATGGCGTACGAATCGAAATGTTAAAAAGGTATTTTTTTTTGTTTACTTTTATTCAAAAAGTTGATGTAAATGGTATTATTATTAAGGACCATAAAAAATAATTAAACAAGTACAATTTATATTTTTTTCCTGAAGAATATATAAAAAAACTTCTATACAAAATCTTAATATAAGCATGTAATAGAAGGAAAGTTGCGCAGGCTTGAAAAAGATAAATCAAATGATTTACCTTAATTTTTTCAGGTATATGCCCACCATATTTCCAACGCAAATGCTTTATCCGCAACATACGTTCATGTAAATAAGTACAACAGCATCGTTTGATATATTCAACACAACTTTGCCTCGCATGTGCTGTTATTGCTACTTCTTGTCTTCTACTCTTTTCCGATATAGAACCTGATCTTAAGATCATCCTGAAAGTTTCTGTTACTTATCTGTAATATCTATTTTTATATTTCCTAATCAGAAATTATTCTAATTTCGAATTTCAATACTAGCTGTTTCATCGTTTCCTTTCTCTATAACTAAATGACTGTAAAAAGATATTTTGCTTGGTTTAAACAGCGATATGCCTCGAACTTCGATTAATTAATAACTGCTCACAAATCATCGGCATTTTTCCTGTACAATTTGTTAATGTTAGTGATACATTTCTTCATCGCATCAACCTGAAATAGAGACTATACCAGCACTGACATTATTATTACCCTAAATGTTTTCAAGTTTATATTCCATCTGAAAAGTGAATTCAAGCCATTTCAAGTGTGCACAAACTAACTAATCAGCCTAACTTAATGCAACTACTTACTTTAAAATCAATCCTTTTCTTCTAATTTCTCAAAATTCGAAATTAATTACAGAAAAGAGACCAACATTATACGGAAGAATAGAGTCGGGTGAAGAATTCAATGAGCTGATTAGTGCAACTGCGTCATCAATTACTGACTCGATGTCACGGTTCATATGGGGTTAGTGAAACTTGCTGATTAGTTGTCGGTGCGTTAAGCGTATTTCTGAAATTTCAAGTTTTGTTTAAATTTTTGCAAAAGGAATAAGAGAAGGAACTAAGCGCAATAAGCGTGACGTGATAGAAACGACTGATAATAAAAATGTCTTTTAAAATTTTTCACAAAAATTTTACGCGAAATAAGAAAAGAGCAGTGAGCTATTACCATTTCATTATATAAATAAAACAAATAAAGTATATATAAGTATATCGAAATTTTCCCATTTTCTCAAATGAATAGACTATATGGGATGTCATTCTTGCATTCTTGATTTCAAATTTCAAATTCTAGTACTTTTCACAATATCTCTAAAATCACTTGGAATCGGTTACAAGAAAATGATATACTACGATTGAGACAATAAAAAATTTATATTAAAAAAAGCTAAATAAAGAAAAAAGAACAATAAATCTTATCTTCCAATCTTCTTTCCTTTTCCCTGCCTTCCTTTTACTCTCCACGATGAATCATCAAAGGGAAAGAAAATTCTATCGAGGAAATCCTCAAGTTCTATTTGAAAAGACAGGAAATGAGAGGAAATTAAAATCAAACAAAAGGCACAGAATCAACTGTAATGTGTGTGTATGTGTGTATGTGTGTATGTGTACGCGTATGTGTATGTGTATGTATATCTGTATGTGTATGTGTATACATATGTGTGCGTGTGTGTGTGTGTGTGTGTGTGTGTGTG